CACACACACACACACACACACACACACACACACACACACACACACACACACACACACACACACAGCGCAGCTGGTAAAATGACTGTGGCCTCCCCCGGAATAGAATGCACGTAGATTATCTGTGTATGTGGACAGAAAGCTGCTCCAAAACGTTACAGCTATAATGGCCATGCCTTCTCTTCAAGGTGAGTTTTTGTTGGAGGCAACAGCCAGGGGGCAAAATGCGAAGATGACCATGGCCCGTAGTAGTAAAATGAAAATAAATAGGGCCTGTGAAACGTTAGCAAGTACCGGGACATTTTGCAAAGGTGGACAGTACCTGGTACTAGGCTGGTAGGGATATTTTGCAAAGATGGCGGGTCCAGCCGACGCCAAGGGTATTTTGGAAATTATCCCTTTCTTTTTTATTCCCTCTCCCCCCAAGGGTATTTTGGAAATTATTCCTTTCTTTTTTATTCCCTCTCCCCCCTCGAAATCCCCCCCCCAAAAAAACTTCCTTTTCACTTTGTTATACTCAAGGAGTTCAAGGGGCAGGGACACCATTGTGCAAACCCTGATCGCCAACCCCCACTCCCGAAGCCCCCCCCACAGGCCGCCACGTGGCCGTGTTTCCGGGCATGGCCGGTGACTTCGGTCTCGGTCGCGCAGTCAGTGCACCGGTCACCACCGGAGGGGATTCATAGCTCTTGATTGTTTTTGTGAGTCAAGAGTAGTGGGTATAGCCTCTGAGAAAGGCTGAAAGGCGGAAATCCCCTCTGGTTGTATGCGGATCCATTCCTGTTCTCCATGTTCTCCAGGTCGTTGGCTCGCATGGTAGTATTTGCTATTTGCTATGTAGGGCCTGGCGTGGTACTATTTATGGCATACTATAATCTGCAATTTTGCAACTGCGGTTTTGAGGTTTAGCTGTGCGGGGTACTCACACAAGGTGCCTATTGGAATGAGACATGGCCGCAACTTGCGGAAAACTGCTCCATCTGCTTTCACCGTGGTCACACGGCTGATAGCAGATGGTGGAATGTTTTTTGTCGGGTTTTTATTTCTGTTTCTGTTTTTTACCCCTTTCGCTGTTTCTGTTTTTTCCCCCTTTCCCTGTCACGTTTGGGCGTGCAGGGTCATGAATTCGGAGGGTTTTCATACTTTTTGTTAAATCAGAAAATGAAATGCGAATTTCCCAGGACCTGTAGAGGTCCTTGCAATTTGCAGAACCCCCGGGCCCAGCAGGCTGCTGACAAATCCTACACGATTGTGATTTGCTGGGGGGGGGGGGCAACATGTGACAGCAAAAGGAGAGAAGAATTTATGATTTTGAGAATTAGACCGTTAGTGTGACCACTCGGGAAATGCGGACAAGGCAAAAATTTGGCAGGTGCATCTGGGCATGTTCTAGCAGGAAGTTCATTCTCATTTTGCACATTTCGAGAGTGGTGTGGCACTCTGGCGATGGGGTGAGTATGCCCCTTTCGCCTGGTGTTTGCTTCTTTTTTTTTTTTTTTTTTTTTTTTTTTTTTTTTTTTTAATAGGAAAAACCCTTTACCGTGAGAGGCCGGGGACCTCACAATTCAACCCGGAGTTATCCTGGCAGCATCAGCCGGTTTAGCTTACAACCTGAGGCTGGAAAACGATCCCTGTTCAACCTACTATTGACTCTTCATAACAACACTCTTGTACCTGAACTTAAAAGTTGAACACAACGTTTCAAATGTAATTAACCTTTCAACCTCAAATGAGCCTACTTAGCCAACACCTCTACCGCTAATAACCTATCCTATTCACAGACCTACAACGGTCTGAACTCTCTCCCTACCCTCTCTCCCATTACAGCCTACTGCAGCCGTCAACTGGAACCGAGTGCCCTGGTTCCCAGTGTCCTTCTCCTACTCCTATCAGAACTTCACCTATCGGCCCCCTGCGGCCCTACACCCACCGAGTGCCCAGGATGGCTAATCCCCGTCCGACGTAGGAGCACAAACCCTCGCTACTCTACTATTGACCGAGGAGCCCTGCGGCCAATGGCCTACAGCAAGGGAGGGAAGAGGGCGGTGCCCCGGGGGCTAGCAGCTCACTCAATCCCTCGCAGCCACCTGGAGATGATTAAGCCCTTTGAGGAATGATATCCTACCAGATGGTTGCCCTGCGCCCATGTTTTCAAGAACCACCATTTTGTTTGTCTGGAACCTCTCCCCTGACGAACTCTCCGTTTCCAGTCCACCAGTATCGCCTGCCTCATCCCTTTTTTGACTGCCGACTTCAGTTCCGGATCTGAGAAGGGGCGCCTCTCGAAGCGCGAACGGTTTCTGTCGGCCCAGATTGCTGAGCAGATGACCGCGCGAGCCACTTGTGCCAGATATGCCCACCCTCTCTTACCTGTTCTTTCCGCCGGTACAAAGCCCAGCAAGACCCATTTCTCCGTCTATTCTATGTAGGATGCCCCAAATTGCTGCCAATGCCTTGCCCACCACTCCCACAGTCTCTAAGACGCCGGGCAGTCCCACCACAGGTGCCGCGTAGACTCGAACGGCCAGGTACATCTTGAGCACCCCAAATGTACTTCCATCCCTCTACCTGCGAGCCAGACCGCTGAGGGGGTGACCAACACCGATAGGAGCCACAGAATGCTTGCATGATTCGAGTTGGGAAGCTCCATCAGGGTACTCCACAATTTCTGGAATTTTTCTTCCGCTCCCTGCTAATCATCCAGAAGAACTGCACTCCACCTGGAGATCGCCATAGAGGTCGGAGAGCGAACGTTTCTGTTGGCTCTGCTGTAGGACTCTTTCACAGAGAAGGAGGCCAGGTTAATTGACTCTGAGGGCCCAGCTGTCCACTGCCAAGCTGCAGGGTCCACACTCAGTTCCCTCAGAGGTTTTCTTCCCACGCATATAGCCGTCGGGTCCTCAGTGTCTTTGAACTCCGACTCCAACACCCGAATTTGAGAAGGATTATCCCACGCCTGAACCAGCGACTCCCCAACTCTTATCAGCGTATTGTCCGCGCTGGAGGACAGTCTCCACTCTTGAACCTGTCTGAACCCGCTCTGTGTGACGTTCAGGACTTTCCAAGCCGTTCCTGGGGCCTCCTGCACAATTGGTACATACCAGGTGCCAGCTGGGTCAACCCCCTCCGGTCCCAATAAATGCAGTCAGTGCGTGGGAATCGCATTTTTCAGTCTGAGCCAGTTCTCCTCCACTCTCCAGAGCCCTTGAAGCTGCCCTTTAATCTCTGGGAGGGATAACCAAGAACTTAGGAGGGGATTCCACAGATCCGCAATGCGGACTATGCCCTTCTTGATCCAAGAGCGCCCGAAGTCCCCCGGCCTAGAACTGGCCGAGAACACCGCACCTACCTCATCGAGAAGGAGGGGGTTATCAAACAGTGGTTGGGCCAGCACTTCATCTTTCGTGGCTGGCTGTGGCCTTGTGTCCGGGGGATGGTCCTTCCACGCCCGGCGGACAGAGTCCCAGAATTCAGACTTCCACCTCCTGTTCAAGTAGGATTTCATGAAAAAACATTTGCCAGACATCTTGTGGCCTGGACAGCTCCCACTCATTCTGCAAAATTCGCTCAGCCAACAATACCCAATCTTCCTTCTCATCCATCATAGCTACACGGGCTATCCATCTTCTCAGCTGGGCCATGTTCCTCCCGTGTGGGTCTACCAAACCCAGACCCCCTTGGTCCCGCTCATAGGTAAGTAAATCCTAGACCACCTTGACCAGAAACCCGTCCTCCAAGCCTGCCCGAGGCTTCCAAAGAAATCTTGCCACCATCTTCCGGATTGCTGTTAGTATAACAGCAGCCACTTCCCTGACTGTGCCGACGAACCAGAGAAGAGTGAGGAGGCCGGCATTCACCACCATGACTCTACCAAATAAAGACAGGTGCCACGCAGGCCCCCAAACCCTCAGACGGGCTGCTATCTTTTGCTGGAGGATGAAACCCTGGACCGAGCCCATCAGGTTCAAGCTCACCATAACACCCAGGAACCTTTCCCATGCCTCATTGTCCACCCTTTGCATACCCCATTCCACCCGTAGAACATAATCCTCCGGTAAGAGGTAAACTGATTTGTTCCAGTTCACCAGGGCCTCCGACAGCTGCGAGTACTCCATCAGCACTTCCTTGAGAGCACTTAAGGAGGGTATGGAGTTCTCAGTGACTACGAAGAGGTCATCAGCTAAAGCCTTGACCTTCAACTCCCTTTCTTCCGTAAGGCGGATACCGCAGATTACTGGGTTATTACGGATGCGGTTCAGGGGGATCTCTAATTGCAACATGAAGAGGAGGGGGGCAAGAGGGCAACCTTGACGAAGAGAGCGGGTCAGGTGAAAGGCCGGGACAGGTGCCCGTTGACCGCGACAGAGGAGGTTGCGACCGTGTACATTGCAATAAGCCAGCGATAGAACCCTTGACCAAAACCCAACTTCCTCAAGGTGGTCAACACAAATGACCACCCTACTCTATCGTAGGCCTTTCCAAGTCCAACAGCAGAATAGCGACATCCCTATGCTCCGATTGTACAATCTCCATCGACTCTATTGCTGTCAGGATATTGAAGAAAATGGACCGCCCCTGGACAAAGGCCCCTTGGTCCTTCTCCACCAATCGCGGGAGCACCCTACCTAACCTAATGACCATTGTCTTTGCTAGAACTTTGTAGGTCATGTTTAGCACAGATATCGGTCTATAGTTGCGCACATTGGCCTTGTCCCCTTTCTTGAACATGAGGGATATCACCCCATGCGTCATACCGCTGCCTAGCCTGCCCCCTGTCAATACCTCATTGTACACCTCCACAAGAGCGGGCCCCACCGCTTCCCAGCAGGCCTTGTAAAATTCCACCGTCAGGCCGTCCACTCCTGGGCACTTCCCGGCAGCCATCTGGGTCAAGGTGTGCTTCAACTCTTCCAATGTGACCGGTCTATCCAGCGCTAACCTCTCCTCTGTTGTTAAATGGACCTTGGTGTCCGCCCACATATCCAGCTCTTGTGATAAATCTGTTTCCGTGGTATCCCCTTGTCTCCTCGAGGTTAGCATGTCCGCATAGTACACGCGGGCATACTCCACCAACTCCCTTGCCGTGATTGCAGCTGGTGGACTTGAATCGAACGGGTGATTCAGCTCCACTACCTGGTGGAAAGAACTGCTGGGCAACAGCTTCCTGAATGTCTCCTTCATGAGCTTGTCGTTCACTATGATTCCTTTTAGCTTTAGGTTCTCCTCCCACCTGACCTGATTTGCCACCTGAAGTGCTTCCCATTCTGACATGCGGCGCTCTCTCTCAGCAGTCCAGAAGAGATCTGATATAGGGTGAACCCCTATTCTGTTCTCTGCCTCCTCAACTCTCTGCCTACAGGTCGCATCCTCTCTGTTCCTGTCCCTTGCGAGTATCCTGGAACTTACATCCATGATACCTGAGATGATTGCTATACCGCTGTCTAGCCAGTCCGCCGCCGAGTCGAAGGAGGCCTTTGCAGATTGCCAGTCCCGCATGAATTCCTCCACCCACTTTCTCAGCCCTGGCTCCTCCAGATTGAGGGAATTTAACTTGAAGTAGCCCTTGCCCCGTTGCAGCAGCGGGCTCAGCACCAAGTCCGCTACCACGGGGCGGTGATCAGACAATGGGTGAGGAACAGGGCTAATGGAGGTCCCCCCTTGGACTAGCTCCGCACTTGCTAGCAGATAATCCAGGCGTCTGCGTGTGACCTCTCCTAGGTCACGACGAATGTTCAAAAACCAGTTAAACCCATCCTCCGCCGGATTGAGCGAGCGGTACGGATCTGAAAGTTCCAGCTCTTGCATCAGGTTAAATAGTGCTGCTGTATCCTTCCTGCCTGCAGTGCGAGAGCCCTCCTTCAAAGCTTCGTCCAATGATATGTTCCAGTCTCCCATTATTACCAGACATGAATCTGTTGGTATAACAGGTATGAGGTTCCTGAAGAAGAGTTCTCTTGAAGATGGATCGGCAGGGGCGTATACTGTCACGAGTGCCCACTCCACTGTGCTAGTCTGGAATTTAATCCACGCCCATCTGCCCCACAGGTCTGCCTTTGAATCCACGACCTGGGGTTGGAGAGAGCGGTGCACCTGAATGCCCACCCCCCCTCTCGAGCCCTGCGCAGGGGACCACACTTGAGGTCCGTCCCACCAGTCAGACCAATCCTGCAGCTTCAACTCGTCCAACTTGGATTCCTGTATGCACAAAATGTCCACCTTCTCTTTATACAACCACGCCTTGATTCTGCCTCTCTTGCCACGGCCCCATCTGTCTCCGAGGCCCCTTATATTCCAGGTTGCAATCCTGAGTTTAACCATGAGCTACGTCTGCGCCCGCTGCATATTGGATGCGGGTAGAACCTGACGGTGCCTTTGAAACCCACCGTCTCCTCTGGTCCACCCCTGGAGACTGAGCCATCGGGCACCTTTCGGAAGAGTGCCTGTACTGAGCTGACTGCGATGGGGAGCGCCATGGAGCTGATAGGGCCTGTGAAAGAAAGGACGAGTACAGGTTTAGCTCCAGCGGCAATTTTTCGTTCAAAGAGAGAAGGATAATTGCGGAGACTTCGGGAGCCACCATGATAGCCTCCAGCTCCTGGCTGTTCCTCTCCCTTAACGCATCCAAGTGGAACCACCTGATGCCTTGTTGCATCAGGGAGCTTGCAGTAGAAGCATCTATTCTAGCGTCAATAATAGGAAAATAAAATTTGTAAACAATTTCCCCTACCGTCAGCAGAACATTTGCCATCGTAGATTTCGGGACAATCCTAATAGGGATTGAGTCCCCATAGAGCGCCTTCGTTTTAGTGATTATCTCCAACGGACTGGGTGTCTTCTCCACTGGCTCAGATGGCAGAAAAGGGCGCCCGTCTGTGTGGGACCTCCCAAGGAAAACCAGCCCTTCCTGAGTAGTTGCGCAGATCAGCGGTAACATCCTACGTGTTAATCTGCCCCTGTCTTCACCCCTAACCGTGGCAGCCCTATTACCCCTGTATTCCCTCTTGCTTCTAGTGTCCTACTCTCCTCCTCTGGCGCCTGCAGAGTTCCCCGTGATGCTTCTGAGCGCTCACGCTGTAAACCATCTGGACCAACTGGTCCCAAGCGCGACAGTCCGTCCCCCACTGGCTCACTACCCATCTGGACTCTCGAACCTGATGAAGATGAAGAAGCTGAGCCGGGTCTACCCCCTTCCCTTCTTCTGAATCTCACCTCCCTGTGACTGCCACTCTCCGCCCTTTCCACCCACCTATCCCATCGCCACCTGTCAGCCTCTACTTCGCTCTGATAATTCTCTCTGCAGTCGTGCTGGTAAACCGCGGGGCAGGGATGACCCTCACCTTGCCTTCCATCGTTGAGCCAGATATTCTGTCCCGAGTGAAACTGCGGGAAGTCCTCCTGTTCTCTCTGGGCAGGGCCCACAGCTCCCAGAAAGGCTCCTCTGCTCGGGTAAGGGGCTACCAGCCTGTTATGGTCCCACCTCATCGCAGGTTGCACTGGACCCTGCGCCCTCCCATAGCTCTGGTCACCTTCTGGGTAGTATCCTCCCTATGCGTATGCTTGTGAAGTCGACGAGGGGGGAGGAGGGATCCCGTGCACTGGGATATGGAACTGCTGGGAGGGGATGGGGGGGCCATGAGGATGCAAGGGGGCCAGCGCTTGCTGTGGCAGTAAGGCTGAGGGGCGGCCATTGTTAAGTGGGGAGAAGGTTGGGTTCTCTTGAATGTGGGGGTAATGTGCCGCAATGCTCTGATCATCATGGTGCGGAGGAGGGAGGTAAGGGGGGGGTAACCACCCCGGAGGTTCAGAGAGGGGCCCGATGGGCCTGCCAAACCTGTGGGGGTAATGTGCCGCAATGCTCTGATCATCATGTTTGCATATTTGTCCAGCCTACTGTGTTTTTTCGTTTTTGTTTTGTTTTGTTTTAATGGATTGGTCCAATATGACTTTCTACTTATTCGTTATTCCCCCCTTCCATTATTGGTGGCTTTTTCTCTAAGGGCAGACTGTCACGACGACGTTTTGCTTATTAAAGATGTAATTGTGGTCCGATGCACCCAGGTCGTGCCGTAAATGCTGTCAGATACATTTAGGATAGAGCTACTGTGATAAGAAAGATGGTGATCGACTCTGGTGACTTGTCTTTGGGCTTCGCTCCGCTACACAAATGTGTATTTGGACGCTTTCACGACCGGGGGCATTCAAAATGTTGCAGTCGTCGGAATGCACCTGGTCGAGAAAATGGCGAAAAAACGCATGTGGAGTGTGGTTTAGTTGCGCCAGGCCCTTTGACTCGGGTTTTGACTTAATGAAACGCCCCAAAGTGATTCGGGCAACCGTTCAAAGCTCTTCAGCCACACACTTTCTTCTCTTTTTCTTTCTTTCATTTTAATAATTACGGAAGCAGACAGAGGATATCCTCGTTAGCCACATTGTCCCCCTCAGTGACATGTGTTTACCAGTCAGGTACTCTCTTTTTTTTTTCTTTTTATTTAATTTTTAAATGCAGGTGCACTGTCTTTTTTTTTTTTTTGGAAAGCTTCAAATGTAGCAGGTGCACTGTCGCAGGGCGAGTAGTAGTATTATTCCAAATTACGGTACTTTGCTGACGGCATTTACCCACAGTCGGACGTTTTCAAGTATTTATGGGCGGACTTGCGATCGGATACGTCCAAGTAAAGCCGTAATTACGGCCAGATACGTTTAAGAACGTGCCCCGTCTTCACCCGACTAGAACGCCCGGTGTTCATCATAGACTACATTTGGGGCAATTTCAGGGTATACAAGCACTGCCAGTTTTCACTTTTTTTTTCTTTTTTTTTTTCTGGACGGAATTCCGGCCAGATGCACGCAACTCCGATTGTCAATGTAGTGAGATACATCTAAGTGAGTACTGTGACTGTCGGGTGAACATAGTGCTAGTCACAGGTAGTGTGAGTCCGCCCTCAGTCGAGACACAGCCATAGTGACCAGGCGTTCTATTCGGGTGAAGACGGTAGCCTGAGTGTCAGTGAGGGTCCTGTGACTGTCGAAAAAACGGAAATGAAAGGTAAAAACGGATACATTTGTTTCTGTGAGTCCTGCCCACTGCCCAGGCACATTCGTTTCTATGATTACGGGCAGGAGATTGGAGCTGATGGAGGCCCAAGAATCGAAACCAATCGCAGAGAGCAGGCCCAAGATGAGAGAAAGCGTCTGATGGACTTGGATGAGTATCCCTTGTGCTCAACTTTTCAATGTCCAGTCCGTGAGTATGGCTTGTTTCACCCCAAATTTAACCTCAGCTCTCACCAAAGGAGTAGTAACCCGTTCCCGTCGCCTGATGCCTGCATTGCCAAGTTTCCACCTGCATTGCCAAGTTTCCACAGTGTCCACAAGATTGCCCTTCTTAGTATTTGCCCCCCGCCACTGAGATGGGATGAAGTCCGATTTCGGGAGGCTGCCGAAACCAGAAGCTCTAGAAGTTTTGCAAGGCCCATCAAGCCGCAACCGGCAAAGCTTGGTATGCAATCAGCCACAAGAAAGTTGAACCCACTTGTTTCACCTCCAGTAGATCCATCAGTAGCTTCCAATGCCTCGGGAGGGCTTGAGCCAGTCAAAGCACACAATCCTCAATCCATCCAGACACCCGATAACGTTTTGCCACAAGCCAAGAAACTTCACAAGATGGGCGACAAATCAAATAACCAAGCCTAGCCGAAAACTCGAAAAGCAGCACCCAGTCCCCACGTCGGAGTGGGTGAATCCATTCCCAATCTCGGGGATCAACATGTAATTGGTGGCAAGAAATCATATAACCATGCCTAGCCGAAAATTGGTAATACAGAGAAGGGTAAATTAGCAAATGGCCCCTGCGCAAGGATCACACGCATGAATCGAGAAATGGTCCAAATTTTTATGCGCCCGATCCCATCCGACAGCATGTCATGAGGAAAGCGTACAGTTTGGAAAAGGCGTCATCATCCCACGGAACACATTTCGGTGATGTTGACATATCAAGAATGGTTGCCCGTATCTTCATCCCCCTCGCCGTACCAACAACCTCCTCGTTGTCGGTGAGCACTCCCTTCGGTTCTATTTCAAATGGCAGGATCGTGGTAATCCTCTTCCACACTTCCCAAAATATGTGACAAGCACTGGAGGATATCCGATTAACCTCCGCTCTCAGGTCGTCCAAGCAGTCGATCAACCTCGTAGATGAAACACTTGAGGTGGAACGGGGTTTCCTTGTACATGCCTTGGGTTGCCTCCAGTCCCGCACCGTTCTCACCATTAATCTCATCAGGACCGCCCAAACGCCTCGGCTTCTTCCTCGCCTTGTCGTTAGGGATGCGGTCGCATTCCTCGGTCCATTTCTCGTCCATCAGGCCGTTTTTGTTGTACCTCTCCAAGATGGTCGTATAACCGATGAAAAAGTCAGCGCTCCACTCTTCTTTTGACCTCCCCTCGACCTTGAACAATATGTAGTTGAACATACGGACCATATATCTTTCACGCCAAGTATATTTAACCAGGTCTGTCATGCTGCATCTGCCACGAGGTACCGAACGTGATGTCACGATGACATCAACACGCATCATGTGGTGAAGCGCCACTTGCTTCTCTCTCGCTGTCATATCGCCAAACAACTTGAAGATTGTCGGCGTCAAGTCAGGTATAGACACTGTTGCGCCTTGTGGCCCCTTCCTGGCCTTGATGCACTGGAACAAGACTTTTTTGCCGGAGTTGTCCTTGAGGAAGTATTGCCCAGACAGCCTCCCTTCCACTTTCCCCGGCAGGTCGATGTATCTCACAGCGTCGACTCGCGGCAATAGCCCCTTCTCGTACATGTCGAAGAATTTCTGTACTAGAGGCCATACTGTTTCGCCGCATTGCGCAAGATTTATGTATCCGCGCATCTTCTTCGTCCAATCCTTGCAGTAGTCATTCTCCAGGGACGAGTTCATGAGACCGGAATCAGGTGTCATTTTGCAGGGGGCGTTCATGAACTCTTCCCATTTCTTTTTCCGTTTCATTCCCTCGACGTCATTCGGGGACACGGTCCCTGGCGAACGGATCCGGCCATTTTTCTTATCCCAAAATGTTCTAATTTGGCGCACAGATGACAAAAACGATCTCGGGATCGAACGCTCCTCCCTTGTGTTGTCGAACGCCGAGACGTACAGATATCCTCTCTTTCTGTCATCATCAAAGTAGACAACACGTACGTGAGAGTATAACCTCAAGCCATACATTTTCTCGGCCGGTGACTTGTCTTTAATGAGTCTGTTCATTGCCTCAGCCGTGTGCTGGCCAGGAACAGCATACCAGTTGTATGTATGAGCCAGTTCGACGTCGAACTGCTCTGGTGTGATCCGTCTGCCTTGAGACCCGTCCGTGTTAGGCACAATGGGAGCCAGGATGAAAGTCATGAAATCCCACTTCCCGTTGATTTCCTTGGCCGCATGATGGATCGCATCATATATGGACTGCACCAACATTTCGTCCAACGTTCTATGGTTGAAGAGGATGTCACCTTCAGGGATTGGCAAGATCTTCGTGACTTCCACTTCAATGTGTTCCCTTTTCTTCTTTGCAAACCCATCTTCATCGAACTCCAAGAAGAAGCACCGTGTTGTGTCGATGGCTTCATCACAGGTGTCG